GACTTTTGTTCCTCGCGGGAGCTACTCGGCCAGCCCAATACTGTAGTTGAGCAACATAATTTTTTCTGTGATTTTTTATTAGTTCTTTCACTGATTTGCATTGGGTTTTTTCTCTTTCTTTTCTTTTTTTGTTTCTTTTCCTTTTTTTCAACACATGTCTAATTTTTGCATACACATTGCACATTTTTTGTATACACCAAGATCTTTTTTCATACATATTTAACATTTCTAGATACATTATTAACATTTTTTCAAATGTTTCGATGTTTATCTTTTTCATACACATTTTCCATTTTTTTATGTGTCTAAGAAATTTTTTATATACATTTAACATTTTTCAAATACATGATTAACAATTTTCAAGTACATGTTTTAAACATTTTTTGGGATATATGTCTTTCTACAGGGTTTTTGAATATGTGTTAAACTTCTTGAAATACATGTTGAAACATTTTTCTAAATGATATGAAACATTTTTCTAATCTATGCAAACATTTATTTACATTGTACGAAAGATTTTCTAAAAATGTCATAAACATATTGTTGGAACGCGTGAACAATTTTTAAAAGTAACGCACACTTTTTTATGGTAAAAAACTTTTTTGTGAATTATATGAATTTTTTTTGATGTAACGTGCATTGTGTAATATTTTTCAAAAATGTCACATATATTTTTCTATGAATTTTCATGCTATAACAGATATATTTGTCATGTTATTAAAAAAATTGCTATGTGAAAAACGAAAAATTGTTATGCTAGCAGAATGAATTGTTATGCTAGCAGGGTTTTTGAATATGTGTTAAACTTTTTTAAATACATGTTGAAACATTTTTCTAAATGATATGAAACATTTTTTTATCTATGCAAACATTTATTTACATTGTACAAAAGATTTTCTAAAAATGTCATAAACATATTGTTGGAACGCGTCAACAATTTTTTAAATGCCACGCACACTTTTTTAATGGTAAAAAACTTTTTTGTCAATTATATGGACATTTGTTTATGTAACGCACATTGTGTAATATTTTTCAAAAATGCCACGTATATTTTTCTATGAATTTTCATACTATAACAGATATATTTGTCATGTTATTAAAAAAATCTATGTGAAAAAAGAAAAAATTGTTATGCTAGCAGAATAAATTGTTAAGAATTTGCAATGCTGCAGATGATTAAATTGTCGTGTTTTAGGATTTGCCTTGACGCAGTAGATAGAATTGTCAGGCTAAAAGAAAGAGGAAGGTTTGTCCAATTGTTTAAATTTTTGACATGCTGCAATAGGCGGAATTGCCATGCGACATAGAAGAGTTGACATACATGCTTATAAGTGAATTGCCATACTGCATCGTAGTTCGTAGGGTGTCATGCTACGCATAGAGTCAATCGTCTAGATGGTGTATGTGAGCAAATGTTTGCATTGTTCCTTCGGAAGAGTACATGGGAAACAACAAATTTGCCGCATGTCCCTGCTTTGAAATTCTCACACGAGATCAAACATACCAGTGAGCACTACTTGACATGAGTGGTTAGCTATCTCAAAAACAATGAACAAAAAAAACATACCAGTGAGCATTCCCTAGATTGAACACACACATTTTCAGAGACCGTCAGCTTGTTAGCCTTTCCGTTTCTCATCCCCGAATTCTGTTGGAACAGCTTGAATGTCGTCGTTGTGTACACGAGGAGACTGAGCCGCAACACGCGGAGGAAAAATCAAATGCGGCCGGTTCGTCATGTAGCAGAAAATACCGTACGCGTTGGAAGGAGTCAAGGAACCGCCAAGGTAGCTAGCACGCGGTTTTTAGCCAAGTGCAAGCCAGCAGGCAGCACAAAGGCCCGTCGTTGTCGCCGAGGTGGTGCTGTTGTGCGGCCCATCCCCATCCCCTTGGTGGCTCGCTCACCGCAGCGTGGGTCCCACGCCACATTCCGGCGGCGCGGGCTCGCAGCACCTGGTGCGAGGAGACGCCCACACAGTCGCGGTCCAGAGCGGAGCCGAACCGCGCAGCGCTTGCTTAGACTAGCCATAGCCATAGTAAGAGTAATTTCAGCAGTAATATCAAGTTCAATTTAATAAATTTGCTTACGTGGTAATGAGTTAATGAAGAGAAATATAATTGTAGTAACTTAGCTAGTTACTGTAATATCATATGGCTCAATGTAATATGAGTTTATAACCTAATAAATGAATCTTTGCATGTTACCACACTTAAGTTACTACCCATTATAAAAATAGTAATATAGTGTAGGGATATGTGTATGTACTAGTGTATATTATTATCCATTATGGCTAGTCTTACGCGGCGCCACCGGCGTAGGCGTCTACTAGTCGATGGGATTGGTGAAGGCCAGGAGACATGAGAATAGACTACGCGGAGGGGAGGTGGGCCCCCCGAACATGGGCGTCATGTGGGATGAGGTTGCCGTGTGCCGGCATCTGCCTCGCCCACACCCAGCTGCCCATATGGCATGCATGAGCTGTAGTATGCAGTTTCGCTCAGACCTGGCCAAACGGGCCGGCCCGGCACGGCACGGCCCAGCCCGTGCTAATCGTGCCTGGCCCGGCACGGCCCGCCGTGGCACGTTTAATAGCCGTGCCGTGCCGTGCGGGCCCACGGGCGTGGCTCTCTGGCCCAGGCACGGCCTGATTATTAAACGGGCCGGCCCGTGGCACGTTTAGCACGCTGGCCCATCTGATTTTTAGCCTGTTGGGCTGTATTTTAGGCCTATTGGGCTGTAATTTAGGTCATATATATAAAAAAATTCCAAAAAAAATTTAAACGGGCCGTGCCGTGCCGGCCCGCGTGCCCAGCCTCCAGGCCCAGGCATGGCCCATGGCGTGCCGCGTGCCGGGCCTAGCCCGTTTAGCTCGGGCCGTGCCGTGCCTGGGCCGTGCCGTTCCTGCGTGCTACCGGGCCGGCCCAGTTAGCACGGCCCGTTTGCCCAACTATAGTTTCGCTATTCCGTTCCCTTCTTTTCTGCTTTCTCTTCTTCAAGAAAAAAGAACAACCAACATCTCTACCTATAGCGTCTGCAGCAAAAATGGACGCCGGTAAAAGGGCTACTGCACTAGGGCGGCGTTACGACGAGAGGCTGCAAGTGTAGCACCAGCATTCCTGTTCTAGCCAGGCAAAAACTGGTGATCCTGTGTGGTACCGGTGTGTCTTTTCCTTTTCGTTTCTTTTCTGGCTGGAAGCCTCGAATGCCGGCGCGTCATTCGTTGGGAATGTGCTGCTTGTGCCATTAAAAAAATATTCCCACTGTTTCATAATATAAGAGCGTTTTTGATACTACACCAATATAAAAAACATTCTTATATTATAGGACGGAGGGAGTAGTTCTGTATCGTCGTTCGTAATGACCTTTTACCCACAAGTTTACATTTGATTGGGCCAAGGAGGAGCACGTTTACAAAACAATCTCCTTCACCCAATTATTACATATAAAAACAACAACGAAAGAAATACTGGTCCAACAATATAAAATGAGAGATATTCGTCATACAACACCGATCCAAGATAACCAGTTTAATTGGACGTAGCCACTGCGCTACGGAAGGAAATCATAGAAAGGATTGAGTACAATGTCACGTTACATCCTATAGCACCTAAACTCTACCATAACACCCCCAAAAGGAAAGAACAGCGCTGAGCGTCGCCGCCTACCGAGTCCAACGAACAAAGATTTCACCCGAAGCCCAGATACGAAGAGGAGCACAATCCACCGCCCACATCAGCCACAGAGTCTGGGTCGGCGCCTCCATGGTAAGAGGCACCTATGTCTGCATCTCCTGCCAGTCCCGGTGGACCGAAGATGATACAAAAGTGTCACTACCGACGGTCGTCACCGACCACGCTCGCACGACACCAAGTCCGTGGTCATCGCCGCCGCTCTGCTTAATAGAGAAGTGGAGTCCCGGCCAACACCAACGACCACCGCATCCGCGAGGAGAGGGGCCTCAACGCCCACATGCACCATCCGGACCGTGCCCAACCTCACCTACCCGGGGCGAGAGCCCCGACCCACATTAGACCCAGATCTGGTCCGCCCGAGCATGAGCCCACGTCGGAGCCACAACTGTCGCACATGTCGCAGGTATCTCCTTCGGCACCTACCGAGCCCCACGTGCCATCGGCCCAAAACCAGGAGAAG